AGAAAGGCATTCGACTCGGTGCCCCATACATGGCTAAAGAGAGTCCTCGAGCTGTACAATATAGACTGTACAGTGAGACTTCCTCGAGCAGTGTATGGGGCAGTGGAGTACGATCCTTTGTCATCTGGGCGAGCGGATGATGGCTGCGGAGAACCACACGCTGGCTAAGGATAAGAAGGGGTATCTTCCAGGGCGATTGTCTGAGTCCAATCTGGTTCTGCCTCTCTCTGAACCCTCTCAGTACCTTACTGGAGGGATTCGTGAGGAGATTTCAGCTACGGAAAGGAGCGACAAAAGTGACCCACCTTTTCTATATGGATGACCTCAAGTTATTCGCCTCCAGTCGCTCCCATCTTATGGAATTGCTAAAAATCACTTGTGAATTTAGCAAAAGCAGAAGCTGGGGACGGATAAGTGTGCGGTCCTCCATGTTGAAAGGGGAAGGGTTGCTAACTCTGAGGGCATAGATTTATCTATGCCCGTCAACTTAAGGACCCTTACCGAGGCTGAAACATACCGATACCTGGGTATGTCACAGAACATCGGTATCGATGAGGCTGGTATGAAACAGTCAGTTTGCGAAGTGTTTTATGCACGCTTGACCAAAGTGCTTAATAGCCTTTTGTCCGGTGTGAATAAGACACACGCATATAACGGTTGGGTCATACCTGTCCTTATGTATACCTTTGGCATACTCAGGTGGACTCAGACTGAACTTAACGCCCTGGATAGAAAAGTCCGCACTACCATGACGTCCCATAGGATGCATAATCCGAGATCGTCGATAATGAGGCTGTACTTGCCGCGAAAGCATGGTGGGCGTGGCTTTCTGAACGCGCTCACCGTGCATAATCGTGAAGTGTGCAGCCTCCGTCATTACTTCCTGGCGAGATCGGATGATCCATTCTATAATGACGTCATTTCTAGTGATAAAAGGCTTACCCCTCTATCCTTAGCCAACGAGCAATGGCAAGACCCAGCAGTGCCTAGCATTTCCGACCGGGAGGCCGTATGGAAGAAGGAGCTCCACGTGAGGTACTGCAGGGCTCTACATGAGCCCTTCGTAGATACAGTCGCCTCCATCAACTGGCTACGTTTCGGTGACCTATTCGGGGAAACCGAGGGTTTTGTCTGTGCAATACAGGATCAGGTTATTAAGACCAACAACTATCGGAGATACATCCTAAAGGATGGCACCGTCGACATCTGTCGAGCTTGTCGCCATCCCGGTGAGTCGCTTAGGCATGTCATCTGCGGTTGTTCGGCGCTTTCTAACTCTGAGTACTTGCACAGACACAACCTAGTAGCCAGAATTCTACATCAGGAACTCGCTCTGAAATACTGTCTCGTGGACCGGAAATTGCCGTATTACAAGTACTTGCCGGAAGCCGTGCTCGAAAATGAACGCGCCAGGCTCTACTGGGACCGGACCATCATCACAGACAGGACTATTCTTGCGAATAAGCCTGATATTGTGCTGATGGATCGGGCACAGTCAAGGATATTTTTGGTCGACATTACCATTCCGTATGTCGAGAACCTCGTGAAAGCCGAAACAGATAAGCGAACAAAATATCTGGACCTGGCTCACGAGGTGACTGACATGTGGGGTGGTCTGCCGGCCGAAATTATTCCTGTAGTCGTCTCTGCGAATGGGTTAATCCCAGTCAGCCTCTCGGGTCATCTGAGGCGACTGGGACTCCGTGACGGACCGCTCCGGGCTCAAATGCAGAAGATTCCTCGATACCGCCCGCATCGTCCGCCGGTTTCTTTCCCTTTCCTCCTAACCCTCGGCCGTCTGGTCTCCCCTGCCGAGGGCTTCCATCTGGTTGGATCTTTATTTATTTATGTATTTTTTGTATTTTTATTTTATTTTATTGATATTTATGTATATTTATCTTTTCTTTTTAATTTATAATTATATAGTTATAGAACTCAACCAGATGACTATATATATATATATATATATATATATATATATATATATATATATATATATATATATATATATATATATGCACTATAATAATGAAAATTGGGCTTAGCAAGAGCTGTGCTCGATAAAATTCAAAAGGCTGTTATCTTGAGGACAACTGCCATTGTGAGGAGACATTTATCCTTGTAACCAAATAATTTCCTTAACATCTTGCCGTTAAGGCCGATTTAGGGATATCACCCCATAAAGAGTAACCGATAAAAATAATAATGATAATTATTTGCAGGTTTGTTATCGCACGGCGCGGTCGCTCGCTACTTTGGTGGGGAGCGGTTGTGTCGGCATGTATAAATAGCAGCTGTTTCGGCTCGCCGCTCACTTAGCGGTCAGCCGCCGTAGAAGAGTCTACATCACCTGAGGAAGTCTCGTGTAGAGGCGAAACACGTGTCGTATTATCGTCGATGGTGTGTCTTTCCTGGAGTAGTGGCGCTGGGATTAGTGGTGCCGGGGAGGGCGGGAGGTGCTCTTCAATCCAGGTAAGACACATCATTGTATTTAGTTAGCGGAAGGTTGCAAATTAATTAATTTCTTTATTACAATATGATGTAAATTGTTGATGAGTCTGTTCATGATCATATGACTTTGTGATTGCAGTTATGATATAAGTAGATGGCTAGTGTTTATCTACTAATATGATATAAATTGTTGATGAGTCTGTTCACGATCATATGACTTTGTGATTGCAGTTATGATATAAGTAGATAGCTAATCTTTATCTACTAATATGATATAAATTGTTGATGAGTCTGTTCATGATCATATGACTTTGTGATTGCAGTTATGATACACTCACCGGCACGGAAACTTGGCCAAGCGGTTATCTCGCGATAGCAAAAGCTATAAGTGTTTCTGATGAATGTTTGTTATGCAAGTATGTCAAAAAATGTTTACCCTCAAGTTCAAGAGGGTAATTCATTATGTTTAAGTGCACCATGACGAATTCTTTAATTTTTAGTTGAATCGGGTCATTTGAGCGACTAAGTTCACATTTTAAATTTGTGTGTTGTGAAAAGTTTACTGTAAGGTTATTCAATTATTGTGATCTTGTGTCTTAATTAAATAACTAAAAGTGCTTTAAAGCCAATAAAAATGCCATTAACACCAGCACAAGTTGCACAAGCAGTAGCATTAATTGACCAAGGGCTGACACAGCGTGAAGTTACTATTGTGCTTAGAGGACGAAACACCCGATATTAAAACTGATAGACAATAAAGAAACAGACTTAATTTTTAACTTTGTAGTGTTTTTAAAGTGACAATGGAAAGATGTTAATTTTAGTGAAAACATGTTATCTTGAAAAGAAAAATTTCGGTGAAGTAAAGATTAAATTTCTATGTTCTAAAACCATTAGAAACACTTATTGAATGCATCTACCCTTAATTTACTGTTAAAAAAACGTTTCAGTGCAAATAATCAGCAAATTCACGAGTGGCCAAGTTTCCGTGCCGGTGAGTGTATAAGTAAATGGCTAATCTTTATCTACTAATATGATATAAATTGTTGATGAGTCTATTCATGAGCATATAGCTTTGTACGAGTACGACTTGACCGTATTAAATTCGTTATAACGAGGAAATGGCTGAAAATTAAAATTATATTTATTTCTCCACCACAAAGTGTATATATATATATATATATATATATATATATATAGGTTTTAAAATATGGATTGTTGTAACGTTTTTGCGGCGGACTCAAATTCACAATATATGTTGGTTTAGTGCCAAAAAATGTGGCCCCAAGAGATCGCAATATGGTCGAGTTTTTAATAAATTCTATATTTACACTGTAAGTATGGAGTGAATTCAGATAAACTAAAGGTACAATTCTGTAGCAGACTGCAGGCAGCACTATCAGGCAACGTGTCGCCGCGACATGTCGCTGCGACATGTTGAGGCGTCATGTCGCTGCCATCAAGTTCCGAACTCGACTGCTGGCGACGGCAGTCCGTGTCCAGCCTGTTCCGAATATTTAGTGGGACATGATGTTTGACGTGTTTGAAATTAGCGGTTAGAGTGCGAGATATTGGGCAATCTGGTTTATCAGTTTCTCTTCCTCGGAATCGGTGAAATTCATTTTTTAAGAAAAATTCAACGTGTTGTTGCTCGGGCGTTGGCGGCACTACCGATCTGCAGTCGGGCTACAGTGTCGTCTATCGCTAGGCAAACGACGTATCGCTAGCTATGGAACGTATTTCATAGAACTACATAGTAACCAGTTGTGTCGCGACGACACGTCGCTTGCTGCTGCTGTCGCAGTCGGCTAGGGAATTTTACCTTTATAGTGAGGGTAGCACGATAAGTTGAAAAGGGAAAAACAACGTTTGCAGAGACAGATAGTTATTTAGATTAATGATTTAGAAAGATTTTATTATTATATTTCACTTCCATTAAAACAAGTTTTTATTTATAATTGGAGTGATAGCAAATCCATATAATAAACATGGCTAATACGGAAAAAGCTCAGATGGTTAACGTTCGCTGTAAATATAATAGAACGCCAGTAACCCGGGTTCGATCCCCGCCGGCACCAATGAAATTGTTAATTGCAATTTTAAGTGCTGATTTACCACGTGCTCGTCGGTGAAGAAAAACATCGTGAGGAAACCTGTATGTCTGAGAAATAAAAAGAAAAAAATATTTCGATGACATATAAAGTTCGCCAACTGCGGCGGACACTTCCTTGCCCTAAAACCCTCTCAGAAATGAGGGGAGGCCTGTGCCCAGCAGTGGGACGTATATAGGCTTTACCTTTTTTTTCAAGAATAAATCAAACATCTTTTAAAAGATGAATTTTGGGGAATTCTTGTTTTTGTAAACCAGCGTAGATTTTGACATTCATTGGAACTTGTAAACAAGTGTAAAAGTTAAATAAAAAGTTTTGACTTTGAAATGGGGGCTGGCCCAGGACACACAGCGGACTGTTACAGGCTAATATAAAAGGAGATTACTAAACAACTCGATTTACAGATGATAACTTGAGAAACATTTTAGAACTACTCACTCGCACTAGAGCACTAGGATGAAAGCCATAATCTTGATAATCAAAACTAGCAAAGCCGGAAGTTATGCTCTTAAGTGTATCATGAAAGTCTATTACTACTTCAGACAGAGGAAGAATAAATTGCATCATTGTCATTTTTTCATCGACTGCACTAGAAGGTAGTGGCGTGCCCCTTCTGTCTACACACAGAGTAGTTACTGCTCCAATGAACTCCACAGGAGTTATTATTGTACCTGCAAGGAAAATTAAATACATTTTTATTAGACTTGCAAAAAATAGAATATTCGGTCACACGTCGAATACCGAATATTCCGCGGGCTTTCTGGTCGAATAGCTGAATATTAGACAGAAGTATTTGGCCAGGAAGGAAGTATTGGTTATTCAGAGCGTCTATTCTCTGCATCTGGGATTGTCTACGAGAAAAAAAAAGGAGTAAACTACCGTCTGAAAATGCAGAAAAATTAGTCTTACTGCAACATAATCTTCCACATTAGTTAATATAATTCAAGTGCATAGACATTTATCCAACTTTTTTTAATTTTTATAATACAAAAGTTGATAATGTACATATAACTTAATTTAATTTTTTGCAATGCGGCCGATTGGGATAAAAGTAGCTGAATAAGTCGGGTCGCGTACCTGATACTCAGAATCACCAAACGGTATTCGCTGAAGGTCATACAGGTTTACGCACCAACGTCGGCACATTCCGATGAGGAGGTGGAGGAAATGTATGAGGATATTTCCAAAGCCATACATTCCTCCAAAACCCACTACACGGTGTTGATGGGAGACTTCAACGCAAAACTAGGCACAAGAGAAAGCGGTGAGCTGAAGTTAGGGGAAATTTGGAGTAGGGCAACGGAACCGAAGGGGCCAGCAGCTGGCCGACTTTATGGAGAAAGAGGGACTCTTTATGATGAACTCTTTCTTCCAGAAGCGGCCCCACAGGAAGTGGACCTGGTCGAGCCCCGACGGTTCGACAAAAAATGAGATTGACTTCATTATGACGACCAGACGCCAACTGTTCAGTGATGTCTCAGTGATCGCAAGGGTGAAAACTGGCAGCGATCACCGAATGGTTAGAGGCACACTGAACCTAAACGTTAAGTTGGAGAGGTCTCGTCTAATGAAGTCAACGCTCCGTCCCCCTCGTGCTCTAATCCAAAATCCCGAAAACTTTCAGCTCGAGTTACACAACCGCTTTCAGTGCCTACAAGATTGCAATGCAGTGGACGATATGAATGACAAGCTCGTGGAAACTGTCCATGCGGTCGGAGCTAAGTTCTGCAAGACCCGCCGCAGAAGAACACAAAAACTCTCCGATCACACTCTTAATCTCATGGCTGTTAGACGGGAGATGAGGCTGCAATCGTCAACAGATTTGACAGCATACAGGCAACTGAACAGACAGATCTCCAAATGCATGCGGCGAGACTTACGCAACTTTAATACTGCTCGTATTAAAGAAGCGATCGAGCGGAACCAGGGCTCCAAAGTCTTTGCCAGAGATCTGTCTGCCAGAAAGAGCCAACTGTCAAGGCTGAAGACTGAGTGTGGCAGCATCGTTTCCGGGACACCTGAGATTTTGAGTGAGATTGAGAGGTTCTATGGGCAGCTGTACACATCATCGTTGGAGCCACACGCAAGTGTGAGTAACGATCCAAGAGCAAGTCTTATCCGACACTATTCCGATGATATCCCGGACGTCAGTCTACGCGAGATTAGAATGGCTCTCCAGCACCTTAAAAACGGCAGGGCCCCAGGCGAGGATGGAATTACAGCGGAGCTTCTGAAAGCGGGTGGAACACCGGTACTTGAAGTCCTTCAGAAGCTCTTCAATTCCGTCCTCCATGGTGGCACTACTCCAGAGGCGTGGAGCAGAAGTGCGGTGGTCTTGTTCTTTAAGAAAGGCGACAACGCTCTCTTGAAGAACTACAGACCGATTTCCCTTCTGAGCCGCGTCTACGTGCTGTTTTCGAGAGTCATTACGAATCGTCTCGCACGCAGACTCGACGACTTCCAGCCTCCCGAACAAGCCGGTTTCCGAAAAGGCTTCAGTACCATAGACCACATACATACCCTGCGGCAGATTGTACAGAAGACTGAAGAGTACAATTTGCCACTTTGCCTGGCGTATGTGGACTATGAGAAAGCCTTTGATTCCGTCGAAATTTGGGCGGTGCTGCAGTCCCTTCAGCGGTGCCAAGTTGACTGTCGGTATATCGAAGTGCTGAAGTGTTTGTACAGTAGGGCTACGATGGCTATCCGAGTACAGAACCAGAGCTCGAAACCTATCCAACTGCAGAGAGGTGTAAGACAGGGTGACGTTATATCCCCGAAACTCTTCACCGCTGCTTTGGAAGACGTTTTCAAGCTACTGGACTGGAAAGGATACGGTATTAACATCAATGGCGAGTACATCACTCACCTTCGATTTCCCGACGATATAGTCCTTATGGCAGAATCGCTGGAGGACTTAAGCACTATGCTCAATGACCTCAATAGTGCCTCCCAACGGATAGGTCTTAATATGAACATGGACAAAACAAAGATTATGTTTAATGTCCATGTCACACCTATGCCGGTAGTTGTTGGGAGCACTATGCTCGAAGTTGTTGACGAGTACGTTTACCTGGGACAAATATTCCGACTAGGTAAGTCCAACTTCGACCGAGAGGTCAATCGACGGATTCAACTCGGCTGGGCAGCGTTCGGGAAATTACGACATATCTTCTCGTCAGGTATACCTCAATCTCTGAAAACTAAAGTGTACAACCAGTGCGTGTTGCCAGTGATGACTTACGGATCAGAGACGTGGTCCTTCACTGCTGGCCGTATGAGGACGCTCAAGGTCGCTCAGCGAGCTATGGAGAGGGCTATGCTCGGAGTTTCTCTGCGTGATAGACTCAGAAATGAGAATATCCGCAGTAAAACCAGATTGACCGACATAGCCCAACGGATTAGTAAGCTGAAGTGGCAATGGGCCGGCCATATAGCTCGAAGAACCGATAACCGATGGGGAAGAAAGGTTCTCGAGTGGCAGCCTCGTACCGGTAGGCGTAGTGTAGGGCGACCCCCCACTAGATGGAGTGACGACCTAGTAAGATATGCAGGAAGTCGATGGATGCAGGTGGCTCAGGACCGTGCTTTGTGGCATTACTTGGGGGAGGCCTATGTTCAGCAGTGGACTTGTGAAGGGCTGTGATGATGATGATGATGATGATGAAGTCGAATATACGTTGCAAGTCTATTTTTGAATTATTATAGCAGTCTGGAAAATATTGCGTAACCTACTTCACGTCAGTATTTGGGAAATGTATTGGATATAGATAGAAAAAGATTACAGCATCACCTAATTTCTTCGAAAAGGCGTCAGCATAATACAATATATACATTACATACTACATTGGAAGCGCCTCTTAACGCACACCTTGTCATCCCTGTGAAGAAACTTAGCGATTTCGGGCAATTCTTGAATACATTGATTTCTCATACATATCGGTATTTTACTTAAACTACAAGTTACAATACGTATTACAAGTAAAAAAACATACCCATTACAAAAGGCTCATAATATTCTTCAATGTGTCTAGAGTCTGGTAACTGTAAAGGATTTGTTATGATGACCTCCTCACTTTTGTATTGTTTGATGATTTTAGATCCTTTTAGCCTGAAAATAAATAAATCAAATATGTGTATATAAAGAAGACGTTAACTGATTCCTTAGTGTTTCCGAGTAGTCTATTCATTACATAGAGCAAATTACATGTAATCATTTAAACCGGATTTACATAAACACTTCATTTAATAATAGTGAAATAAAACATTAGAAAAAAGTACTAGCAATTTTTAAGTTTTAAAATTCTTAAAAGCTTTTAAGAAGTAATGAATAATATCCTCCAGACCAAATTTTGGTCACAGCGGCCAGTCTCAGCGGAGCCATCTGAGCAGGACAGGATTATAGTGCCCGTGTGTGTACGCGAACACGGGTCCTCTATTCCATCACACCCATAGCCCGATTGGAGGGTAATCCGACACGACCAAAGGGAGATCAGACCGACGGCTTTACGTGCTTTCCGAGGGACAAGAGGGAAACAATGCCAATTTCCCAACTACTGACTGATACCGAAAACTTCTTGACAAAAAAATTCAATAACTGATTTTGGCTTGAACCGGGACCTCATAATCAGCAATCGCATTCAGGACCACTAGAGCAACGAGACAGGCAAAAATAGTGTGTGATTAGAAAATAATACTCTCGACACATAATGTACAGTACCTAGATGACCAAGCTTTCCGCGGTATTTTTTTTTTTTTTTGGAAATCGTGTGTTTTGGAAATTATATTTAGATACAAATTACACAATGTTGAAACATGAATAATATTTTTTGATCTTATTGACATAATAGAAAAAACTGAACTGGTTATTTGAATAAAAAATCATGAGTGCAATTAGTTTAATTTAAATTTTCGTGTTTTTAAAAAAATACTAAAAAAAGGGCTCGAAATAATAGATTTTCTCACAAAAGAAGGGAACTTCAAAAAAAAGGGAAAAAGTCGGTCAGGACGCGAACCAGGGCACCTCGATTTTGCGACCGCCGGATATCCCACATGAGCTATTAAGATCATTAATACACTGCCAAAATTTACCTTCCTCACTCCCATAGTTTAGTAGGACTGTAAACCAATACGACCGAAGAGAGATCACGCGCAGGACTAACGGCTTTGCTGCGCTTAGCAGCGTGCTTACCGAGACACGGAGGTGATACACCACCAACTTCCTAACTCCGCGCTGCTACTGAGAATTTCTTGACAGAAAAAAATCTACCACCAACTTCCTAACTCCGCGCTGCTACTGAGAATTTCTTGACAGAAAAAAATCAACCACCAACTTCCTAACTCCGCGCTGCTACTGAGAATTTCTTGACAGAAAAAAAATCTAACTGATTGGCCCGACCAGGGATTCGAATCTGGGAGCTAATGATCATCAGTCGCGGTTGAAACCACTAGGCCAACGAGACAGTCAATCAAAAAAGTATATTATAGTCATACTAATTGCACAGTTACTTACAGGTAAACATCGCTAAGCCATAACTAAAATCTTAATTTACATATTACATTAGGAAAAAAAATTGTTTTGATTTTTTTTGTAAGAATATTTATAGCAAGTTTTAAGAAAAAAATCTCCCAACACATCATAACACCCTTTATACTAAAAAGAGACAATATAGAGACAATTTGGACAAATTAGATAAAGGAAAGTTTAATGATAAAGAAGTACCATTTTGATGTGAAGTTAAGTAATTGGGCGTAACAATCGACCAAAAGCTAATATGCAATATATTCAAGTTAGAAACATATGCCATAAGATAAAAATTAGTTTAGGTATGTGCAGTCGTATCGTTAGGAACAACTGTGGCTTGCGTCCCAGTATGATCCTATGGCTGTACAGCAGCATGGTGAGGCCGATTATTACCTACTCCTCCATGTTATGGTGTTATAAGGGGAATCAAAAGACAACTGCGGACAATCTAAATAGTCTACAAAGGACCGCCTTTTTAATAGCAACTGGAGCGATGCGATCATCGCCTGGAACGGCTCTTAATGCATTTCTATGCGTAACGCCCAGGGCGGTCTTAGCTTGCTTACCTACACACCGAGAGCCCTATTTGACTCAATGAAGAAAACACTGACTTTATGCATGATCTCAGCTATCATGCATCCACTATACACTTTTAATAAAAAGTACATGGTGGAACTACCCTCTAGAGAAGACTGGCTGAATGGACAGGTTATCTGTGCGGTCGGTAGCCTTATACCGATGTGTCGAAAATGGGGAAAGCCCCAATTTCAAGCTTAGTATGAATTTTGGGAAATTCACCTCTACTTAACCTGAAACTAACGCCGACCCTTAAAACTCTTTATATATAATAAACTGTGGAGACTGTTATCTAAAAAAGCTCATGTTTGTCCTGGGACTAAACAACTCAAGGATGTGCCGATTCTGTTAATTAACGGAAGAAACACCTCTCTCTGTACAACGTAAAGAAGTGAAATAGTTTACAGCTGCAGCTTCAATTCATTGTATAAGGCTTAGCAGTGAACCATAGCCATAGCTATCACAACAGATCTTACAGGTTGCAGTGATACTGGTCTTTCTAGACCTTCATAGTAATTTGCACAAAAATATAAAAACATGTGTGCGATTCACATGCGGAAGAAGTTAAACCTCCAGAAAACTAAACTTCGGAGTGACTGAGATGAATGCAGAGTATCAGGAGTGGGATAATTGTAGAGTTTATGTATGTAATTAAAATATAAATAAATTTTTAATAAACACTATATACTGTATTCTGTCTTATTCTCTTGTAGGCTGAATCCTATAAATGTATATGTTTGTCTCTTTTCAGTGTCGCTTTTTCGTCTCGAATTTCAAATCACAACAATTCTAATGAAGTTCTTACTTCAAAAAAAATTGTAATTTTGGAATTTGCTACTAAACCTACCACGTTGTCACTGGGTTTAAAGAGTAATGCCATGCTTCAGCTATATTAATAATATAGTTGTAGCACAAATGGGTCAGCTCGATTGGGGAAGAACCACGCTCTCACAGAATACCAGCGTAAAATAACAGCTCAATGCTGCTGTTTTGTATGGTGAGTGTAGAGAACCAGAGACTCATTTTACTGGAAAAGAGGCATTCCATCTTTGTCCTCACGGATGACAACGCATCTGCATTTGATTCGCAAATGAGGACAGATGTAAATGTCTATGGGCCACAGCAATCACTTACCATCAGGTGGAATGTGTGTTCGCTTGTTACCCTTATCCTATTAAAAAAAAACCGGCCAAGAACGTGTCGGGCCACGCTCAGTGTAGGGTTCCGTAGTTTCCCGTCCGTCGCAATAAGTGTTCCCACTTATGATTTTAAGGTGGGTATCCATTATCTCCAGCCTCCGCGCTCCTGCAACTGCTCCCGGTAGTGGGTACTGTTGTTTCCATCCAAGTTCAAAATGATTTTCCTAGAAAGTCCTTATAAAGTTCTACTTTCTAAGTAGAACTTTATAAGGACTTTCTACTTTATAAGGAGGGGGGGGGGACACATTGTTTTTTAGTTTTGGAGCGATTATTTCCGAAATTATTGACATTATCAAAAATAATTTTAGTAAACCCCTATTCATTTTTAAATAGCTTTCCAACAATATATCACACGTTAGGGTTGAAATTAAAAAAAACACTTCCCACTTTACATATAGGGGGGGCTACCCTAATAAAACATTTTTTTCCAATTTTTATTTTACCACTTTGTCGGCGTGATTGATACACATATTGGTACCAAATTTCAGCTTTCTAGTGCTAACGGTCACACAGATTAAGCGAGGACGGACAGACAGACATGGCGAAACTATAAAGGTTCCTAGTTGACTACGGAACCCTAAAAACATTGTTCACAATTGGCTAAGATATTGCATAATACACATAAAGTGAAATAATTGAGAAGCTCTTTAGTCAGCTAAAAAAATTGAAATATGAATTGCAAACTTACTTAATTTTATATGGAACTGAAGGAGCTGTAAGAATTGCCTCTGCTTTGTATTCTTGTAGGAGTCTTTGCGTAAAAACATCAAGATGCAATAGACCTAAGAAGCCCACACGCCATCCTTGGCCTAAAGCTGGACTGAAATTATTATCAATAGAAAAATAATTGAAATAAAGAAGCAACATACTTAATAACAAAAAGTAACATAGTTATTAATAATAAAAAGGAGTTAGCTATAGACGTCCAGTACCTGATTTTAATAATGTTTTTAGTTTAGAAGGCTTGTTAGGGTTAAGCTTGAACCTATTGCGCTGTTTTAGATGTCGGCAATGTGTTTTTAAATAATTACGATAAAATTTACATTTTTAATTAACTATGATAAACAAAAATTGCTTATAATGAAACACAAATATGTCAATTTGGTCTAGTAGTATGAAGAAGACATCCTGAAGAGTTAGATGGAATGCTATATTACCCAGCTTTTGATTATTAATTTGTATTCTGTTAAATGCAAAGAAGCTTAAGTACTGTTACGAGCTTGAGGTTCGTGACAATAAAAATTGCCGATAAAATTACCTAAATTAACACTTTAATTTACTTTACACAAATTAAAACTTAAAACACTAATAATTAAACACACTAATTCACTTTATTCCGCTCCGAAGCTTCGCTTGTCTCGCCAAATCCAATACTGCCCCGATCGCATCTTGCAGCGCCTATTTATATAAATTAGCAGCGAAATATCCAGAATATTCAAGTAAACACGCGCAAGGTACCGAGAGTTCATGATTCAACATCAAGAAGTTTAGTTCTTCGGTTCGAGACTAGATGGCGCTAGTGCCGTCGACTTGAGCGCGTAACAGTACCTTCAAGTTTTGAAATGGAATGCTTGCTTTGCATCAAACCATTTTCTATATGGAAATTTAGATGTTTTTTAATATTATTAGTCTCATGAAACATTCTTGGTAGGACAAAGATATTGTTTTACGAGGATTTGTGGTATGATGTGGGTGTATTAACAAGGTCAAGCCTGAATACATTCCCAGACTGCAGATTTCCAGGAATGTCAATGGGCACTATCATAAATCAGACCACAAATTAATCATTAAAAGCTGAAGGCAGCCTGGAACTACCTGATGTCAAAAATTTAAATGAAAATAAATTTAGATTGATAAGAACTGTAAAATAAAATTGCATAAATATAAATAATAAACAAAATGCATAAATATAAATAATAAACACAAAAAAAATTATTTAGCTGATGATTCAGTATTAAACTAATCACCATTATATAATTAACTACACCATACAATAATAATAACAATATTCTAATTATGATATATAAATGGTTGATTTTGAAGCAATACCATTGACCTCATCTTGAAAAGAGTGACAAATCATTTTTGTAATAGGTTTGGTTAAGATTTACAGAACTTAGAGAATAATTTAGTAAGACTTTCAAAATCTACTTATGATTACCTATAGACGTATTTAGGAATGTGCCATTGTGGATGCATAACTTGCCCATAAACATTAAATTTGACTATATTCACCAAATGACCCACTAGTAAAAAAAGAGATTAGAAAAAATTATAAGTCCTCCTTCATTTGTTAATAAGCAGGGTGCACTATTTGCAGGTGAGATTGACATTTGGAAAATTTATAACATCAGACTTACACATGTTGTGTACACATAAGATTTAATATAGGTGAATACTTAATTTTAATTTAATAAGTTGCAGAGATGAAAACAGGACAATAATAAATTTTGACTATTAAAAATAAGAAAATGGGAACTTGATGTGAAAATTTGGTATATAAATTGCAAGTTTTACCTTGAATCAACATTAACACTAACAGCAGAATCATTTAAAGCTAATTTTTTAATGGCATCACTGAGGAAAATATGCTGAGATTGGTCAGCAGGAAATATCCCAGCATATACCATATGTTTGATTGGTTGTGCATTTGCAGTTTGATCAATATCAGTTGCCTCAACAGATAATAAATGGTCACCTACACTTCCACCACCTTTAGGACCAAGACCTGAAAGTTATTTATAAAACACATAAATTATAAATGGTATTATTTTACTGTTTATAAAGTAATCATTACTTACCTACCATTACAACTTGACCTGCCGCTGCTTTATTAATGGATTCTTCACCTGGTCTCAATAATGCTAAATATTTTACAGTATGCTGTTTAGGATTCGATTGCCATTTGACTTCCTGCCCAATTTCCACAGTTCCAGAGTGAATGTATGCTAAGCAAAGCACTCCTCTGTACTTGTCATGCCAAGTGTCAATTATATGTGCTTTAAAATAGCCAGCAGGGTTTACATCTGGTGGTGGTATTCTAGTTATTACAGCTTCCAATAATTCTTTAACTCCCCATCCCTTTTTTGCCGATATGCTCAATACTGTTTCAGGGTCAATGTTGAAAAGAGAATTAAGCTGAGACTTAACATTATCAGGATCAGCTCTAGGTAAGTCAACTTTATTTAGAGTAGGGATTATAACTAAATTATTTCTTTTGGCCAGTGAATGAACAGCTACAGTTTGCGCCTGAATACCTTCATTTGCATCCACTAAGAGAATTACTCCTTGGCATGCTGTTACACTCCTAACAACCTTAAAACATTTAACTGTAGTGCAATATTTGTCTACATTTGATTTTTAATTCCAAATTAGGAATTAAAAATCCATAAATTAATTTTGGAACAAAATAAAAATTCATTATACCTCATTTGAAAAGTCTACATGACCTGGAGTATCTATAAGATTTAAGAGATATAATTCATTATTAAATGTATAGTTTAGTGATGCTGTAACAGCTTTAACTGTTATACCTCTTTCCTTCTCAACCTGTAATTCAAAATAACTTAAGTAAAATGTGCACCTAGGTGGAAAATGTAAGGCATTATTAAAGTTATTAGTAAATATTATAGCAGACATACTTGTAACTGATCTAGTACTTGTGCATTTTCTGCGCTAGCTTTTATTACACCAGTTAGTTCCAGTAGCCTGTCAGCTAAAGTACTTTTGCCATGATCAACATGAGCTACTATACTAAAGTTTCTAATTTTTCGCCTATCGAAAATTTTGGAGTTGCATTCAGTACTACTCATACGGTTCGATGATCTGAAATAAAGAATTGCAAACGCATGATACCAACTATTATATTATGAAAAATATTTATTATTTAACCTTATAACATACCTTGTAAGTTTACTGAGACATACTAAGTTGAAACGGTGTACACTTTTAAAAATATTAACCATTATTTATCATAAATTATTGCAAATAATAGTAAATAGTAGTTAGAATAATAAGATAGATAAACGAGGATGTTTATAAATCAATAAATAATTAAAACAATTAATTTAATACTACTCTTATCATGAGATATATTTATTACCTATATTTTTTTTTCAGTTTTATGATGTAGGTAGGTATAGGTTAACTAGTTATCTAGGTAGGTACATAGATAAATAAATATGTATGGGTAGGTACTTAGGTACTAGTTTTAGTATATAAAGGTACTAGGGATGGCGATCTGAGATCGACTAATCGAACAATCGACTTCTTATGTCAAAAAGATCGATTTTTATATCGATATATATTATTACATCAATCCAGTGAATCGACATTTCATCCTATAAAATCGGATCGAATCTTTTTCTGCTTTTATAGGAACTGTATAATGATTTACAATTAGTTGAATGAACCAACATTCATTATTTATATAAGCATAGCTAAGACAAAACAACATCAGTAGAAAAGATAACTAAGGATTTAATTTTCTTGAGGTCTTGCTCGCTTCGTACAGCAAAAATAGATGTCTCAGTTTGACGCACCAAAACAGTAGCGTGCTTAATCCATGTGAATTTATAATTGCGCTTAGTGGCTTGTTGACGGCACAATCGAAATAATTGCTTGTTTTTAGCTGTAAGATTTTCGTTTATGTACACGTTATGTATAGTACCAGCTATAGTAGCAGCGGATTAAACTATATGCAGTAGCAGCCTTATTTTCGTTGTAAATTTTATAACAACATTTTTTGGACGCGAACACTTTTTATCAAAGTGTGGCACTCTATGGGCTGATACAATGTCCGATTTGCTGCCAGGGTGTTTGATGACACAACCAATCTTCTCAATAATAGATAGAAGGTTTTCATCACGTCGTTCTGGTAAGTTAGTAATCTCAACGTTATAAAGCCGTGCCTGTTGCTCCATTGCATCAATTTTATCTTGTAATAGGTTAACCTGGCTGGTTACATCATCGCTCGATCTCAGCTGGCTTTCTACCTGTGTCAGACGCGTTTCAATACTATCCTGCCTTTCCATCGTATAAGATAAGGATTTGTTGATTGTATCCAATATATCTCCTAACTCATTAAATGAGTTACTTATAGTCGCTGATATTTTCTTCAGCTCTCTATCAATAACTGTATCGATTGAATTTCTGATACTTTCGGCAATGGTGATGTCCAACTGTAATTTCCATGAGCTGAGCTGATCATTAATTTTTTGCTCAACGAACTCTAGTACCGCCTTAACATTTATATCATCAGGCTGCTTGCGTTTTCGGAGACTCACAAAAGTATTATCATCAGCGCCACACGTTTCGGGTAGTTTTCGATTTGACGAATATTTTAGCCTCTGTGTCGGAGGTGTTGTTGGTGGTGGAGTACGCTGCACCGTATTAGTTCGTGTGTATGACAAAAACAAATAATCTACTCTGTCCTTTCTTATGGGCGGTGAAGTATGCACGCCCCGCTGCAACGAGTCCAAGAAGCGATGCCAAAATAGGACAGAGAAAGTGATCCGAGTGAACAAGCGATATGGCCACAATACGTCACTGTTACAGCAACACACACTATTTTCACACTTACATGCAAGACGATAAAGTATAAATTACAATGTTCTATAATGTTAAATTTTGCAATAAATTTTTCACACTTCCTCTCTATATGGGTCCCGCACGACGAAAAAAGACTTCAAACGAACAACCACATACTTATACCTCTATAAAACTCTTGTTCGTTCCCAGCTTGAATATGCTGTACCTATATGGAATCCCTACTATAAAGTATAAAAAGAAGATATTGAAAAAGTCCAAAATAAGTTTTTGCGTGCCCTGTACTATAGATGCCATAAATCTTACTTGTCTCGTATCCCATTGCTGAGACAGTTTGGTGTTTTGTCGCATGAATGTAGACGTAAATATCTTGAAGCTATAACATTGTATAAAATAGTAAACCACAAATTTAGCAGTACTGTGTTAGTTTCCAATTTAAATTTCGTAGTTCATAGAAGAGCTCATATATGCGCTACAGATACCGGCTTGCGCGCGCCAGTTCTCGTATGCAAATGGAAGTACCAGTAAAAAAAAAAAAAAATTTGCGTTTTTTTATTAATTTTTTTTATTGGCCCCCCCCAAAATTAAAAATTTTTAATTTGTTAAGATGGGGGAGCAGTATTTTTTGAATTAAAAAAAAGGTACAGAAAAGGCCCGAAACCAACAGAGACCGTTAAAACATTAACGTTTGTTAACGATTACTTGCGAAGTGGCGCACGATGGGGAGCAACCGATCTCCCTAACTCGAGTTTTAACTGGCTGTACATAAACGAATCAAGCGATCCAGTGAAAGAATAAGAGCGCGATTCGTTCGTTGTGTGCGCGCTTTGTGTTCCCGCCATAATGAATGAACCTAATGACGCCGATGATTATACGAAGTTTGCCGATCATTAACAACACAACCCCTGGCAACATCTGTTGCTTCGGAACCCTTAATTTCAAAATCCGGGATTTTGTATGTTTATAGAAGAAACCGTCTAGCACCTAAAAAAATTGACCAAATTTCATTTTTCAATAATACTATATCTATGTGTATACTATATCTAGGTATCTAATTACTAAACTCTACCATATCTTCTTCTTTACAATTTGAACAATGATGCTAATAGTAAATTAAATACCCGAAATTCGGTATTATTTACATTTAAAATCTATTTATCGAACAAATTATGTGTTTCGTTAAAACAAACCCAATTTACTACAAATATAAAAAATCTATGCAAAATTACATATATAAAATAAAATTGCAATTTTCGTTTTTGTAACAGGAAACATTTTAATTGTGTCATTCAGCCACGTCATTTTTGGTTGACTGAAAGGGTTGTGGGTTGTGTTAGTATACGCGGCATTTATTATAAGGTTCTTGATAAATAGTTAATCATGAATATATTCCGCTTGCTCGCCGATTTATCCCATCTATTAGCTATTATAATATTATTAATTAAAATCTGGAAAACTAGATCATGTGCAGGTAATTTTTCTTATAACCGGCATGCATCTTCGTTATTTTACGACTTTGCACATAATTGTAAATATTTTCATTTGTTTATCTTTCAGGAATATCGGGGAAGTCGCAAATACTTTTTGCTATAGTTTATACGACGCGATATTTGGATTTATTGACAACATACGTGTCTGCCTATAACACTGTTATGAAAATTTTTTTCATCGTGGCCTCTTACGCTACAGTATACTTGATGTATGTGAAATTTAAAGCTACCTACGATCATAACCACGACACATTCCGGATTGAATTTTTACTTATTCCATCTGCTATACTTGCATTGTTGATTAATCGCGAGTTTACAGTTCTTGAGGTTGGTATCTTACTTTGATTATTAAATATAACCGAGTTGTTTTGTTATTTCATAAGCTAATGTGGATTATTGTCGTTAAATTGCTGTTATGATAATTTACAGGTTTTATGGACATTTTCAATTTACCTGGAATCAGTTGCAATCCTTCCACAGCTGTTTTTGGTTTCTAAGACTGGAGAAGCTGAAAGTATCACCTCCCATTACCTGTTTGCTCTTGGATCGTACAGAGGTCTCTACCTTCTTAATTGGGTGAGTTACTTTTAGATTTTTTTTTTCACTACTTTTTTGTTTTAAAATATGCTTATGAATGATAATACGTAGTAAAGTATCATCATACATATGCAATCTGTATTAACTTCTAAATATATTAGGAGTATAAAGTTCAAAATAGTTTCAGAGATTTTACGGTGGTAAATTTTATCTTTTCAACCAACTTCTAAAAGAAAGGTTCTCAATTTGACTGTATTTTTTTAAGTGTGTTACCTTAGAACTGTTTTCTAGGTGAACCGATTTTGATGATACTTTTTTATTTGAAAAGTGGTGCTTCTCATGTTGTCCCATATAAATTTCATCAAGATCACATTATAATTACATACACATTATAATAATCTTTCAAATCTATTTATTTTAAAGTAAAAATAATTAATAGACATAGTCAATTGTCACTTAGGTATTTAATTGGCCCCAGTTTTTTTGCTCTTGGGTAGAATTTTAACATCTCCTCGGGTATGCAGTGACATTTCTAAGAGTTGCTTATGTTTCATCATCATTATTAGAGTACTTCATAAGTCCTTTGGAATTTTCTTTTGAATATTGGCCCTATTATGGTCTTGAGCAATCTCAATTATACATCTCTTACCAGGCTGCCACTCTGTCTAATGGTGGAGCCGCCCTTAAATTTTCGGTACAAGACTGCCACTCATAAACCTTTAGTTTAGAAAAACAACTATAACCCAACCATTGTTTGTCAGTTTCGTGAGCTATATGGCCGGTCTTTACTCATCAGGATGTCAATAAACCCAAACATAGCCGACAGTGAAGGATCCTGTCTCAGATACATATGTCATTATTAAATTGAAAAAACTGGCCAAGTGCAAGTGCAGCCTCATTTGGTGGAAGAAAAAACAATAAAAAATGGTTGCTTGTTTAAGTCACAGCTTACAAATTACATTATAATTCAAAATTTGCAGTACTTGTTTGAAATATGTATATGAAGTAGTTAACTTTAATTAAATTTTTCACTAGTTTTGTTTTTTAATACTTAACAATGTCTAAAACTGTCAAATTTGACAGCCCTATTACTTAGTTTTTTAAGATAATAAAGAACAAAAATATAGTTAAACCCTATTCAATTAACTGTATGTAATGTAACCCCACCAGCTAAGATAAAAAAATAATTTTATTTTGGCTTCTTTTCTACACCTAATACCCAAATTGCAGGTACCGGGACACAGGGACAGACTAACTGATGGATAGACAGAGAACTTAAAAACTTACTTTACAAAAATAGAAATATGCAATTTGTATTGATAACAATATTTCATGTGGTAGAGCCATGCTGGTGTTTGGGTTGTAGCATAAGTCAGTTGTCTCAACTGGGGTAAAACCACACTCTCACAGAATACTAGCATAAAACAGCAGCTTAATGCTATTGTGTTTCATATGGTGAGTGTAAAGAACTGGAGACCCTTTTTACTGGGAACAAGGCATTCGATCTCAGTCCTCAGGGGTGACAATACATCTATATTTTGATTCTAAATTTAGGATACATGTACTCATTTGTCACCCATATTTTATTTAAGAAAATGTCACTCAGATGGCCAAACTTTGCGAATTTCTTAAGGTGGTTTCTTAAAAGCCGGCCACCTGTACCAAATTAAACAAATTTATAAAATAGAGGAAGCCAGAATTAAGCTATGAAATTCTTAGTTAAATGGGTTAAATATTGAAAAATCACTTACTCTGGTTCTTTATTCTATATATTGACCACAACAAACATTAAAACCATGAGAATATGCTAAAACACAGTATTTTAGCATGTATTAAAATTTAATGTATGTGATTTACTATCGACTTTTCTGCACCTGCAGTCTTTTTGGTTGTGATGTATATTGATATGAAGGATAATTCTGCATAAAACCTACAGTAACATATAAAATGAAAGTTAATTTATATTAAGATGTAGATCAAGACTGACTGCTTCCGGCATGAGCTCAGTTCAGGGCATTGTACCCTACATTAATATATCATTTAAGGATGTATTTTAAAAGTTAAATTATTTGAGATTTATATCTTTAATTGATATTTTCAGATTTATCGTTACATTGTTGAGGACCATTACGAACTGATTGCTATAGTAGCAGGTGTCATACAGACAGTTTTGTATTGTGATTTCTTCTACCTATATATAACAAAAGGTAAATTTTAAATTTTGTAATTATTATTTATAACTTAACAGTTTTATATTGAAATAATCCAAAATTATTTTTGTAATGCTTAATATTTAATGAAGTCTCATATGAGAGCCAGTTTTTAATTAATTCTATTCAATATAATTCAATAATTCAATAATTCTAATTCAACATATTAAAGTAGAATTTTGTGAGAACTGGTTTCATAATGGGAAATTACAATTGCTAGTGTTGGATTGTTTGCAAGTCTAAGATGGTTTCCATGTAGTAGCAGTGTAAGGATATCCTCTACCCCGTATCGTCCCATGGGCGTCGAAAGAGGCGACAGAGGGAAACCAACTAGGAGATAGGCAGCAAAATCTTCAGTTACCAAACCGCCTGCCAAGCATGGAAACTCATGGCAATTAACCCCCCCTATGAGGCAATCTGTGGGGAGGCCTATGTTCAGCAGTGAACTTCTGATAGGCTGCAATGGTGATGGTAACGGATGGTAGGCTGAATGGTAACAGATGCTTTTAAAATAATGAAATATGTTAACAAATTTTTATAAACAATTTTTTTTATTATCCCTTCCAACCTCATTTTATAGTAATTCTTCTAAAGTCCTAACTTTTATGTAAGTGTAAACATACAAAAGTTCTCTAACCATTAATTCTGTTTCAATTTTTAAAAATATTTTAATTATTAAAAAATAATTTTATTTCAGTGTTAAAAGGAAAGAAGCTCCAACTTCCAGCCTAAACACATACCTACAGATGCAATAAAACAATTTGACATAAATTTATGTCTTTTGTTGATATAAGTCAATAATATTACCTAAGATCTAGCTGTACAATTATTGTGTGGGTTATTGTGAAAGCATTATTAAAAACAGTTATTTGTGATGAAAATGGATAATTAATTATAACACCCATTAATTTTATTATTACTTTAATTAATGGTGTCTTACATATTATGTCAATTTTAAATAACATGTTGGTGTGAGTGAGTGTAAACCTTAAAATAATTACATATATATGTATGCATAGAGGGAATCTACAATTCTACTTATAGGGATATAATATACTTATTTCGCTTTTTATAATTTAATTTTCAAATGAGTAAATCTCTGGTACCAAGTCGCCTGCCACTTGTGGTAACTAATGGAAAATAACCCCCCTGAGACAATTTATGGAGAAGGCCTGTGTTTATAAGTGGACTTTGAATAGGTGGCAATGGTAATGGTAACAGATGCCTGCAGATTTACCACTTGTTCAGATAAAATGGGATCATAGATACAACTATAACTGCGTGGATGTAAAGATTTCGAAACCTTGAGGTGAAATCCACCACTGCACACTTGAGCATGATCATCATAATGCCGTGTAGCGGCGGCGTAAAGGAGTCCCTCACCCATACAGTGGACCCCCGGTAATCACGTCTCTGTCTAATCCGGCACCCCCTGTAATCCGACATGGTCTATTATTTATTATTGAATATTTTTTTGACAATCTTCGCTTTCATTTTGCATGCATGATTGAACAAGTTATAACTTGGACGCACCACCACTATTGTGCTCGATGCATAGGGTATCGTTTTGATTGCTTAGTTTGAATTTGACGACATGTGATGAGGATAGCGGTGCAGCCTAGCGTGTGTTCAGAGAAGAGTACATATATATAACATATAGCATCTTATCATTGGATCTGTAATTTATCGGATTATTACAAGGTAATCTTTTATGAAAAATTATGGGCTTTAGCAGTTTAGTTCGACAGTGCCCTGCAAAATGTTTGTCAGATTATCGGGGGTCCACTGTACTTCGAAGCTCTAAGAACCATATTAACTCTTGAGTAAGGTAAGAGGCGACAGAGGGAGGTGAAACAAGAGATTAGTATCAATATATTAATAACTGAAAACAACCCTTAACAACCCGCCTGCAAAGAGTGGTCTGTGTTAAACATACCTTTTAAGGAAGAGGCCTGTTTTCAGCTGTTAAATTTTGATGGGCTGTAATGAATGAATGAATGATGGCTATTATCTTGAGTTAGCAGAGAGGAAAATGGGTGATACAGACGTAATCAATTGGTAGTTGTGGTGGAGCGTGAAAGAAGGAAGTTACGCTCCACAAAGCAAACCCAGTGTAGATTCGACAAATTGAAATAAATAAAATATTTCAAATAGGTACAATTTAGCAAAAACATATCGCTGAATTAGAGTATATTTTTCTGTAACTTTTTTAACAGTATATTTTAATTTAGCCCGATAGTGTGAAATTCCGCATTATTCAACTCCGTTTTTGTTGTAAATGTCCCTAGGTTTGAGTTATTAAGTATTTTGTTAAACCGATTATTTAATCCTTAATTTTACTAAGTCATAGACAGTATGACTTAATCAACAATGGTTTTTAAATGGCACATCAATTTCAGTATCTATCGAATTAAAAGAGGTAAGCTTGTGAAAAAAGGTAAAGGTACAATAATACAGCTATCTTTGTGAACAAGGTGAAATGTCATATGCATAGAGTTCAACTTCAAGAATTTTGTTCTTACTTTAGCATTCCCTCTATGCCTGTACTTACTTTGAGGTGTAAACTAAATTTTAATTGTCATATATGATACATCTAGCATGTAAAATTTTAATAATGATAGATATCTGACAATTTAAAGAATGAGATCTTTTATACAATTATGTTTGTCATCATTCCTATCATAAGTAGGAAATGCAACCAAATTTAGTGTAATAAGTATACATAACATATTACATATTTGGCATGATCATGAGAATTTTTAATCATAATATATTTTGTTTTCAGCTTCAATATAAAATTAAAAATAAAAAATGCTAAAAGTGTAGCAATTCTTTTTATAGGTACTAGATAGGTTGTTAGGTATTAATTATTGCACGAATAGTTGAATCAAGCCATTATACTATGATTAAAATAATCATTGTAGGCAGCTGAGTCAACAGTATAATTAAAATAAAAGATATTTCATATCTGACTAAAATTTATTTGACATATTGTGACTCATCTAACCTTCAATTGCAAAACAAAAAAGGACAATGTTACAATAACTTAATAAATTTAATATATATTTTTTGTAATTCAAATGTAGATAACTTTTTCATTTGTAAGATTTTAATGTTACTTTTTTGCAATAAGTATTCTTAAATAAATGAAATCTTAAGTGTATATCTGACTTTTGAATACATCCTTGCTATCGATACAACTGTTTGTAGTATGTTGAACTTATTCAGTAAAATCAGTCAGTAATCGTTTTAAACAATTATGCGTATATATATACGTATTCACTCCTCCCGGTATGATACTAATATATACATTCTATTTTTTACCACAAAGTAATGCAGCATAACATACAAAATCAGCTATGTGTATATGTTCCTGAAAAAATATAAAACATCTTAAGCCATATAGGTATTCAATTTTAAACACAGATTTTAATTTTATTAAGTTTGAATATTACAATAAAATAAAATAATTGTATTTTGAAACTGATGATGATAAATAGAGTGGGCTTGGATATAACTTGAAAAATGTCTGCGCTAGTAGTTAGTTATATATACTATTTATCTCCATAGAAAGTTTTAAGGCGTGATACGAGAGACTGGATTCCGAGCGCGACAGAACATGACATACAGGACGGGTTGATTAATCTAGTAAGTTTGTTGTGTTATTAAACAGTTTAAATCGTAACTGTGTACCAATGCAACCACTATAGATACTCATCACATTTGTATTATGATTTACCATGTCTGAAAGAAACTAAAAACGCTTGTGAAAGTGAGACATTACAAACTTGTTGCTTAATATGATTCATACAAGCTATGAAGGCCAAAACTAATGATAAATTGGCAATATCTAGATCAAATTTTAGGCTTGCGATATTGCTGGAAAGCCTCTATCAATCATGGACAAAATATGTAACTAAGAAAATATTTATTATGCTGTAGAATGACATTATAGAAATTATATTGCAGTGGAATAACAACCTAAAAAAATAAAGAATTTGTACAAATGATATCTGAATATATTATATATTATAGGGTTAGTTTTTAAAGAGAAACCAAATTTTAAACTTAGTTCAAATATATAAATAATGGTATACCATTATTGCAGTTTTTGAAAATACCGAGTAAATAAGGCCTCTACTTTTATTTGAAATTATCCTCCAAATTGAATGCGATTTATGGGCATCAAAGTTTTTGGCTCCTAATCTACCTTAACAACATCTATTGTTCAATTAATAGCTTTGCTGAAACATGTGTGATATTTGATACATGAATCTGCTAAAGATACTATTGCATCTGTTGCTATATCTGCATCGCTAAAGATACTATTAAGATCATCATTATCATTGTTACAGACCTTCACAAGTCCACTGCTGAAAATAGACCATATAAATGTCTAATCTTTTACAATTTGATACTTAGTAATAAAGTATGTTTTACCTTTAACATAGTACTGCTGTTCAGCAAGTTAAAAATACCATTAGAAAGAGTAAATTCACTTAAAATAGCAGTGTATGTTACTCCAATCTGAAAATTTTCTTTTAGCTGTAGACAGAAAAATAGTTCATCGTCGTGTTTAGTCAACGATCAATATAATATACAGGTGTTCAAATAAAAAGTGAAAAGCTGTAAAAATTATATCAAACTTAATGAAGTAAATTTCTTTACAAAAATATGTGAAAAAGAATCCAAGAGCCTTAATTTAAATGATATATGAACGGCACCAAGCACCGTAAAAAGTTATATATATATACATCCTACAGCTGGGCACAGGCCTCCCCTAATTTCTGAGAGGGTTTTAGGGCAAGGAAGTGTCCGCCATGCTGCCCCAATGCGTGTTGGTGAACTTCACATGTTTTTTTTTATAGGATGGGGTGACAAACGAGCACACAGTCCACCTGATGGTAAGTTGTTGCTGTAGCCCATAGACATATACATCTATCCTCGATTACGAATCAAATTGCAGATGCGTTGTCACCCATGAGGACTAAGATGGAATGCCTCGTTTCCTGTAAAAAGGGTCTCCGGTTCTCTACACTCACCATACGAAACACAGTAGCATTAAGCTACTATTTGACGCTGGTATTCTGTGAGAGCGTGGTCCTTCCCCGGTTGTGCCGACTCATTCGTGCTACAACTGTACTACTAATATAACTGCAGCATGGCTCTACCACGTATAAAAACGTCTTCGAAACATTTTTTTTTCTTATTCCTCAGACATGTAGGTTTTCTCACGATGTTTTCCTTCACCGCCGAGCAAATCGCCGTGGTAAATCAGCACTTAAAATTGCAATTAACAATTTCATTAGAGCCGGCGGGGATCGAACCCGGGTTACTCGCGTTCCGTTATATTTACAGCGAGCGTTAACCATCTGAGCTACCACGGTTCCAAGCACCGTAGCATGTACTTAAATCATAGGATTAAAAGGAATCTAATACTTGGAACTTCTGGTAATATTTTCAATTAATTATGTACATACAATTATAGCTGATTATGTGTGTATAACAAATAAATATGTGTGCGCAACTAATGTACATCGATTTTTCAGTTGTTATCACAAAGATGCTGCTACCCATTTCAGTGTCCCTCTGCCGCCTCTTATGGCACCCACGGGACAATTGGGTATTTTTATACTGTTACATGTGCTTAATAAATTATTATTACATTGTAAACTATAACAAAACTGTAAAATATTCCACCATAAGGTTCAAAATGAGCTATGTGAATATTATGATCCTAAAAAACTTTCTATTTCCTAAATTGAAGAGGTACCTCAGAGGATATGGATTCAAGATAATGAAGCGGTAGTTACTGCAGTATAAGATTTTTTAGGTTTTCAGAATAAATACTATGAAGGGAAATTTAAGCTTACAGGAAAGATATTGCAAGTGTAAAATAAAAGGTGACCACATCGAGAGAATAACATAACATTTAATAAGTTATTCATTCTCACTTTTCATTAAACACTCATTCATCATAAGTATATAATTTATTAAAAGAAATCACCTGTGATTCCAAAGGCAACAAAACATTTGGTAGCCAGGTTGATATATTTCTTGCTTCTAATTTGTGTGCAATTAATATGGCAAGTTCTCTAAGAGTACCGATATTATTTGAATCTGTAACACAGAACACACGCTTTAGACAAAACAGTATAGAACACAGTGAACAGATTAATAATCTACTCTTAATAATAATACTCAACCATGTAGTGGCAGTGAAAGAATATCCACTACCCCATATCACACCAGCATAGTACACCCACAGAGTGACTTAAGAAGTGATAGAGAGAAACAAATCAGGAAATCGGTAGAACCGTCTTCCCTAATAACGATTAAGAAAAAACTGCAATTGCCAAACCGCTTGCCAAGAATGGCAACTGCCAAATATCTACCCTATGAGACAATCTATGGGGAGGCCTACGTTCAGCAGTTGACTTTAATAGACTGAAACAGTAACAGTAATAATACCACTTACAATATAACTAGTATGATCGCCTTTATAAGTTGTATGATGTACAAGTTGTAGATAATATTTATTTTATTTTACCTTCGTAATCTAAAGCTAGGGCTATTTTATATGGAGCCATTTTATTGTGGAGTCGTAAATATTCTTCATTGGTACTGTTCCATAATCCATCAAGTAAAATTGTAAATAAAGCATCTTCAAATGACATTTTGCAATTCAAATAGGATGTTTCAGTACTCTACAAATTTAAAATATATTTAAGTAAAATTTAAGGTATAACTTATAAAGTATAATATAAATTACTTATTACTTCTGTATTTATAGATATAGTCTCAACAATTTTCTGGCCCCAATTAAAATTAGCCAATATATTGACATTTGCTGCATTTCCTTCTTGTTTAATATCACTTAGCTTAAATAGACTTGGTGTTGTAGTTATCTGAAAATTACATAAAATAAATAAAATTCTATAAAGTACAAAAATATCTAAATATTTATATAGTTTCAAGAATAAAGCTACAAACTACATGATTACAGTTTTATACAATTAAATACCTAGTTCGGCAACATCTGGTAATACAATCTGCAATCTGCGTACTCAGTGTGACAATTAAGGCAAATCTTTCTCACAACAGGAGAGGTCCATGAGAAACGAAGGACGAAGAAAATGCAAAGCATAAAGCTTCAGCCAAATATATATTATTCAATATTTGGCCAAATATTTTTTTAATACAAATTCATTAAAAAAGTTGAGTGCATTTTGTGTAATTACAGACTAGAGACACTCAAAAAAATTCTACGTACACCACTAATACCATATCCGCAAGGTTCTATCGCAGCTGCAAGCTATGGAGTATATTTGCCTTGTATGACAATTAACGTCATTACTTCATTCATTACAGAACCATAGTATATAGATTGACTTCTATGAAGGGTTATTCACTACAGATGCCACTCTTGACAGGCAGATTGGTTACCACAATTTTTTAGATAATTTTGAGTTGTTATCAGGAAGATGCTGCTGCCCATTTCCTGTTTTATTTCCTCTGTCGCCTCTTACAACACCCATGCAATATGAAATAGTGGATTCTTTTATTCTGCCACTACAAGGCTACAATAATGAATATCATCAAACCGATCAACATTTTGACACCATTATTTTAATATAAATTTGTTTCCAGATTAAAGAACGATCACCTAATTTAACACAAATAATCTATCCAATTGCTTTTCTCCACACATTTTAAAATTAAAACTTAAATTATCATATAGTCGTAGTCCCCAGAGTATAGTGCTAAGAACACTGGCAGCATTTCCTTGCTATATGGCTATACATAGCCTTTGAACGAAAAAAGATCCAGCCCTCTTATTATCAGCGAAGACGACACGTAACAAATGGCACTATAGTATATCCACTCGAATGTCGGGGTCATTTTGGCCAATTTGGCGCATCTGTCGAGCACTTTCTGAAGTACTAAGTAAGTATATGACAAGTATATATATATACTAAGTAAGTATATTAAAATCATATATCAATAGAAACGTTATTAAATAAGCTATCAGATTATGCATGACAAGTATATATGTTATATATATAATATATATGTTACAAATATAATTTGCTATCACTCGACGCCATATTATGGCATTTGACAGATGCGCATATTATTTGAGACGCCAGAATATGGCGTTTGGACAGACGAGGTGATATAGTCATATTTTAGAAACTAATTACATTAAAAGAAATAAATTTGGGATGTGCAAGCGGGATTTAAAAAGGGAATGGGATGCACAGATCCTCTTTTCCATGCGCATGATCGCGGAAAAGTTTTTGGCCAAAAACCAAAAGGTTTTTTGTGCGTTCATGGACTTGGAAAAGGCCTATGACAGAGTGGATAGGAATGTGCTATGGCAAACACTGAATTCATTTGGGTTGAGCGCTGGCTTGATACAGGCATTGGAGTCGCTTTATAGGGACTCTAGTGCTTGTGTTAGGATCAACGGGGTCTACTCGGACTGGTTTGGCATCCATAAAGGTGTCAGACAGGGCTGTGTGGCTTCCCCGTGGCTGTTCAACCTATTTATGGACAGTTGTTTGCAAAATTTGAAAGTTGAAGAATGCGGATTAAGAATGGGTGAGTTAACCGTCAAATGCCTTTTGTACGCCGATGATCAAGTTATTCTTGCGTCGTCGGCGGCCGAGCTGCAAATGATGGTTACTACATTAAAGAACAGATCATTAAAAGAAAGGGGTATGAAAGTGAACGCAAGTAAGACGAAAGTTATGGTTTTTGAAAGAGAAGAAAGTAAGACGATATGTGAAATAAGAATAGAAGGGGAGTTGATCGAGCAAGTAGATGAGTTTGTATATCTGGGTTGCGTATTTAGTAGGGATGGGAGATGTGATAAGGATATAGAACGATGAGTGAATGCAGGAAATAGAATAAATGGGGCCTTACACTCTATTATGAAGAGTCAAAATGTGTCGAAAAAGGCACGTATGGCAATTCACAATGCTGTGTTGGTCCCTATTTTAACGTATGGTAGTGATAGTTGGGTGTGGCAGAAGAAGCACGAGAGTAGAATGAACGCAGTAGAAATGCGGTCGTTAAGGAGTATGTTAGGGCTGAATCTGAATGACAGGGTAAGAAATTGTGTAATAAGAGAAGAGTGCGGTTTGCAAGATGATGTGACCAGGATTAAGAAAGGAATGCTTCGGTGGTTTGGTCATGTGGAAAGAATGAATGTCATGTGGAATGAAAGAGTGACAAAGAAAATTTATGTTGCAGAAGTGAATGGCAGAGTCGGAAAGGGACGTCCTAGGAGAAAATTTATCGACCAAATTGGCGATTTATTGAAAACGGGCCAAATTAGGAGTACCCTTAACCGACGAGCATGTATGCGTAGGTGTATGGATGTGAAGGAGGCGAGAGAGGTGTGTCAGGATCGTGCCAAATGGAAGTTTGTAGTCTCTGCCTACCCCTCTGGGTGACAGGCGTGTGTGTTTATCTATCTATCTATCTTTAGAAACTCATACTTGCGCCACTTACTCAGGTTCAGCCATCACTGATGCCACCATGGCTCTAAACAAGATACTCCTTAGATGACAGGCTGCAAGTTTCTATGCATGTAGCATTTCATACTAAAGTTTTACCTCTCTTCCAAGTGACCAAAGTTATACCATCAGATCTTCTGTCATTGTCTCTAAATATTCCAGAAGGCTCTAAATCCAAAAGAACATTTATAGAGACAGGAGCTCTTTGGATAACATTTTTCTTAACTTTCTTTCTATAGGATATATAGGATAATCTTTTTTTATAGGATTAGGGTGACTAACCAGCACACAGTCTACCTGACGGTAAGTGGATGCTATGGCTTATAGACTGTGGACTGTGGCAGATGCTTTGTCACCCATGAGGACTAAGATGAAATGCCTCATTTCCCGTAAAAAGGATCTGCAGTTTACTACACTTGCCATACAAAACACAGCAGTATTGAGCTGCAATTTAAGCTGGTATTCTGTGAGGGTATTGTCCTTCTCCGGTCGAACTGACCCATTTCTGCTACAACCATAAAATAACTGCAACATGGCTCTATCACACACAAAATTTATATAATTGTATATTCTAATATAATATAAATAAATGATTTTATTCGTAATTTGTAAAAACAATTAAAAATAACAGCATAGTATATTTATGCCTGAAAATGTACTAATTTAAAATATCTAAAATAAATACTAACTGAACTCCACCAATATTTCCTATATCTCTGCCATTGCATGAAAAACTGCATTATATCTTGTGAAGGCACCACTAGATTGAGACATAACTCTGATGTTTTTAAATCTATATCATCCATTTTGAATTGCCTAATTTTTTGTTTATCAAATTGTAGCATATTTTGGCTTATCCATCCATATGGCAATGTTTGTCTTTTATTTAAAATAAAAGCTCTTGATTTATTTAAAAAGACTGGAAAGCTATTATTTGTCTTAGAATGTATAAATTGAAGCCATTGGGTGTATATATTTTGCAACAGAATTTTGCTTGCTTTATCATATGAAAAAATAATATTTCTTTCATTTGATTTAATAACGTTGAAGTAGTTTTGCAAATTAATAACTCTTCTAATTTCAGTTCTCATTTTCCTTTAAAGACTGGTTACATTCATTATCATGTACTTCATGTAATGGAATATTGCCTGGTGGGGCAACAAAGTAATCATCTTCAGTTACTGTGGCATTTTTAAGTATGTCTGTTTGACAGTTTCCTTGTGTTATCTTATCAAAACGAAGACTAAGATTTCTGAAAAATATATATTTAATCATTTTATTAACCTTCAAAATATTAAAGTGACATTCATTATTAGTCAATATTTTATTTACATAAAGCATTACAGTAGAAACTCGATTAACCGGCCCTTAGTTATACGGATTCGCGATTATCCGGACTATCAACCGCGACCAATTAAATAATTAAGTCATAATATTGAGCCAAGTTACAAAGTGTTTAACATATGTACTACATATGGAATTTATGCAAGCATGAACGTGTCGGTACGGGCATTACCCCGACCGCGCCCTGCGGGATCGCGTTTCGTAACAACAATAACTAAAACAATAACAAAACTTTTGTTATTGTTTTAGTTAGCTAGAAATTGTTTTTTTTAGTTTAGCTAGCAATTGATTGCGCGTCTAGTCTAAATTTTTAAAAATGTCAAAGCGTAAGAGAGTGGTTTTTTTTCTTTTTTTTTAATTTTTTAATTAAAACATTAAGGACAAAAAAGCGTAGAAAAAGTTCACTCATAAAAACAAAAAAAAAAAAAAAAAAAAAATATAAAAAAAAAAAAAAAAAAAAAATAAAAAGAAAAAAAAAAAAGGGAGAAAAAGTTATCGCTTAAAGACAAAATAAATATTATTGATTCATTAAAAAAAGGAGAAACTGGTCGTAAGTTAGCTGATAAGTATGGTGTAGGTACATCCACAATAAGTGATATTAAGAAAAATGCCGATTCAATTTTGTTGTACACTTGCAAATTAGATAGTGAAGACGGGAGTAAACATCGGAAAATGATGAAGAAACCGAAAAACGAACTTTTAGAAGACGCATTGTATTGTTGGTTTTTACAAAAACGATCAACTGGGCAACCGATATCTGGCCCTTTGCTCTGCGAAAAAGCATTACAGTTAAATAAAAAATTAGGTGGCGGCGGCTCGTTTGTCGCAAGTACGGGTGGTTATATAGATTTAAATCTCGTCATGGAATTCGTGAATTAGAAATACAAGGTGAAAAAATGTCAGCTAATGTAGACGCAGCAAACTCCTTTAAAGATGATTTAAAGAAGAAATTGGATGAAAATAACTATGACTTGGATTTCGTTTATAATGCTGATGAAACCGGATTAAACTGGAAATCATTACCTTCAAAATCTTTAGCTTCTAGGCGAGAGAATTCACCTCCAGGATATAAAACTAGCAAAGAACGAGTAACAATATTAGTTTGCGCTAACGCTACCGGGACCCATAAAATACCTTTGCTCCTCATCGGAAAACCAAAAAACCTAGATGTTTTAAAAATATCAGTGTGCCCTTAATTTATAAAAATCAAAAAAGCGCATGGATGAACTCTGAAATATTCATTGATTGGTATGACAACACTTTTATCCCTGAAGTAAAAAAAAGACAACGAAATTGGCAAACAAGCAAATGTATTACTTTTACTGGATAATGCGCCAACTCATCCTTCGGCTGAACTGTTGGAAAGAGAAAATGGAAAGTTTAAAGTAAAATTTTTGCCTCCTAATGTGACATCCTTGCTGCAACCAATGGATCAAAGTATTATTGAAACATTAAAACGACTTTATAGAAAACAACTTTTACGAAGGTTGTTGTCTGTTGATGAAGATAATGTAGAAGTCGTTTTATAATTTTTTAAAGAAATGAATTTAAAGAAGTGTTGTTACATAGTTGTAGATGCGTGGGATTTGATTGAAAAGAAAACTTTAAACAAGGCTTGGAACAGAGTACTTAATCAGGAGAATGAAAATTTAATAACCAGTACAGATGATTCTATTTTGGAGGATATAAATGAGCTAATGTTAAAGATACAAATATGCCAGGATGGTGATAAATAAAAAGTGGATCACTGTGACAGTAATGATCAAGCTTTCAGATTATGTCGTAACTTTCAATAAATAACAGAAGATGAAACAGAAGAAAATATAGTCATGGAAAATGATGCAGGACCATCTCATGATCAAGCACTTCAGGCCCTGGAAACGGCTCTCAAGTGGTTTAAAAAACAAACAGAGAGTGATACTGTGAGTTTACTACAGCTCAAACGAATTCGTGATATTGCAACAATAAAGAGAAAAAGTGGCTTACGTCAAATGACAATTACCAAATATTTTAAATGAAATTAAACTTATTATTTTATTTCATAATTACCAAATACACATTCTAAACAAATTATATGTACATACGTATCTATATATTTTATTTCATAATTGAGGCTGCAGTATTTTAGTATGTATGTGTGTAATCTAAGAAAATATGTATGTACAGAAATAAGTGCATACATTGTATATTGAAAAATGTATTTCTTAATAAACATTGATTTTCGTTGATATTGTTGTTTTAATAAACACATAAACATATGTACTACAAATGCACAAAACCTGCTTTTCTTCATACATTCGATTATCCGGATTTTCGATTAAGGTCTCTGCCCACTACACCGTATCATATGACCGTGCTAGGAGCGTATGAGGCACGAAAAGCAACACGATACGCTCACACTATGCCCACTGAACGGATCGACGGCGTTCTGTGCCCGTATACATCCCGTATGATGCCAGTATGCAACCCGTATGTAACCCGTATGATGCCCGTATGCAACATCCACACAAAACCAATAGAAATCCGTTTCATTCTCGCATGCGTAACAGTGTTGCGTGGACGTCTTGGAGTGCTACCAAATTTTTAAATTGTAAAATAGTTATGGCTATCAGAAAATTAACTGTTAGACAACTGGCAAAAAACAAAAAAACAAAACAAAAAAAAAACACTCGGCGCTACTGGATTCACGATTCTATAAAAGAAAGAAAAACCGAAGGAGAGTATTGGACATTATTCAGACACTTAGTTGTGGATGAAGAAAAGTTTTTTCAGTATTTCCGAATGTCTACATTCCAATTTAATGTTTTGCTGAAAAAAATTGAAAATTATATTGGCAGTAAAAACACAAACTTTAGAGAATGTCTGTCATCTAAAGAAAAGCTTGCTCTGTGTTTACGGTAAGTAATACAATTTGATCAATATATTTTAAATCAAACTTTTATTTAAATTCAAATATTCAGAATGTTTACTCATATTGTATGTATTTTAAACCTAATCAAGAACATTTCCAGACTGATTCCAATCATTAGTCATAGACGTATCCCAAGTCTCAGGAGACGTAGGCATAGGTGTGTCTCTTGCTTGAACGCATGAAGAAGTCGATGCTGGAGATGGAGTATTTGCATATTGAGGTGAAGTTGTAATAAAACTAGGTGGTGCGAGCTACTGTAACTCCATTTCGGAAACTAAACTGAATATTTTGTGTTTTGCTATTGCTTGTAGGTAAGGTGAAAACTTTTTTACTGTTTCTGATATATTCAAAAAGAAACGATCTAGTTCATCGTGTTAACGTTGTTGTGGAACACTTCCTTGTTGGTCTAATAATCTAGACATCAACACAGCGGATGCTGATAATGGTAGGTTTTTAGCGCTTTTTATTCCCTTTGCCTTTTTTGCTTGACTGTGTTGTGATTTTGGTTGTGTGGATTTATTGTGGATAATAGTGTTATCTTCGTTTCGAATTACAGTATCTTGAGGAGCAGTCACATCCACAGCATCAGTATTGTTAATCTCATTGATTGAGTTAGGGTTCTGAACTTGAGTTTCTGCATCTTTGTTCTGAGACTCGACATCGTCGCTTGTCAGCTCAACGGACTCTAAAGGTTTTTTTCAGCAAAAAACGAAGCAACAAACGACATTTCTTCCTCGTACTTCCATTTCTTAATGTACTTAGCTGCCTGTCCACTTTTGCCCTTTTTCTTATTTATTGCTCTTTTGTATGCATCCCTTAGCCCTTGCCACCTTTGTTTACAAGCTGCAGCTGTAAAAACATACAAGTAATAAGTATTATTAATAAACTTTGTTGTTGGGATGGTTCCTTTACTCATAAAAATTAACTACAATACTTCTGCTCTTGATTCCCCATGCCTGGCCTGACCAAATGATTCTTATGTAAAGAGATTTAAAAAAAAACATTTAATTTATAAAAGTTTTAGAATTTTAAAGTTGACTTATCTAGTACTTATCATAAATAGAACAACTGCCCGGGAGGTTTAGCGTATTTAAAATTACTCGTATAAATACGAATACGTACATAAAACATACAATACGCACTCAAAACACACTATTAAAAAATATATACATACAGCTTTGATGTAACAATAATAATACATAATCATAAATACATTTAACTAAGTGAAATATTATAACATATAGTACAACTTTGACTTATTTGTTTAATTAATATTGTGTTTGCAGGTACTTAGCAACTGGTGATTCGTTTACAACTATTGCTTTTAGCTATCGTATGGGAATCAGTTCTGTGAGGCGTGCCGTGTTGGAAGTTTGTGATGCTATAATAAAGAATATAATGCGAGAAAGTATTCCTACACCTGGCACAGAACAATGGGAAAAAAATATCGAAGGATTCTGGAATAAATGGAATTTCCCCAATTGTGTAGGTGCTATTGATAGAAAGCATGTTATTATTTTAGCACCTCCAAACAGTGGATCTTTGTATTTTAATTATAAAAAAAACATTTTCAATTGTACTTTTAGCTTTAGTTGATGCACTTCATAGCCGTAAACGTCGGTGCTTTCGGCAAAGATAGTGATGGAGGTATTTTGTCAAAGTCAAAAATGGGCAAAGCTATATTCGAAAATAAATTTAATATTCCAAGTACCAAATTTTTTCCAGGGAGTAATGTTAGTGCACCATGCGTTATACTAGGAGATGAAGCTTTTCCTTTAAAAAATAATCTCCTAAGGCCTTATCCATCACAACAGTCAATTAACGATGATAAGAAACGCCACTTTAATTATCGCATTTGTCAAGCACGACGTGTAGTGGAAAATGCTTTTGGTATTTTAAGTCAAAAATTTCGAATTTATAATAGACGTTTGCATTTGAGGCCAGAATTTGCGGAAAAAATTGTACTAACAACGGGCATTTTATACAATTTCATTAGACACGGAGAAACAGTAATTTATATGGAAACAAATACTCCTGTACAGTTTAACAACCTAAGACACCAAGGAGGGAATGCAGTTTCTACTGCTTTTGAAGTACATCAACAATTTACGGATTTCTTTCAAACGTCTCAAGGCCAATTGGATTGGATACCCATATAATACAGAATATTTATTATTTTTTACTACAATGTTAATATTACATTTTATAAACTAGACTATGCTAAAATAAAATGCCTTAACTACTATCTATCTAAAAATAAACTAACAAATAGGTTAACTAACCCATGTATTAAATTACTTCAAATAAACAATAATTTTATAAACAAACCTGGTTGTTTGAGTTGTTCCGAAATTTCCTTCCAAGCCATTTCTTTTTTCACACTATCCATATATTTCGGGTGTTGTAGATTATATAAAAACTCATATTTACGTACACATTCTATTAATTTTTCATCCTCCATTTTACAACGTCTTTACGTCTCGTTAAACTGACAACAAATGACTAAGTTACGACAACGCGCTTACAACGCCTATATAACGGTCGTTTACAACCCGTATATTCGCCGGCTCGCCGCCTGCGCGCAGCAGCTTGGCAACGTCGCGTGTCATGCAGAGAATGTGTCAGCACCTGCAAAATATTCTCGCAGACATTTGTTGACGCTCCGTGCATGGCACGCGACGGTGTTGGTCGGTGACGGAACGGTCTAGTGGGAACAGTGTCATACTTTTCAATACAAATAATATTTATTTGCCTGACACATTCCTAGCACGGTCATGGTATGATACGGTGTAGTGGGCAGAGACCTTTATCCGCATCCCTAACAGCAACAACTAGTCCAGTTAATCGAGTTCCCATTGCAGTTATATTTTATTTAATAATTAATAGAAAGAGAAAAAGAATACAAAATCCTCATTATATCATCAGTTAGACCAACTTGGAGACCTTAAAGCAAAGAGTCCCCATTAAAAGCTGGTAAGCAACTGCAATTCATCTGGTGTTGCAATTACTCATGAGCAGCAGTGGTCCTTTACCATTATGTGAGCTATATAGCTCACATAATGGTAAATACATATGCCTGTTTACATTCTCATCCATAATCAAACATTATTTCAATGTGAAAGTAAATGATAAAAAATTTTATATTTTAGTATATTATGGTTTATCTTATTATACATTTGTATGCCAGTGATGACATATGGAGCTGAGACGTGGTCCTTCACTCCTGGCCGTATGAGGACACTTTCGCTCAGCGAGCTATGGAGAGGGCTATGCTCAGGGTTTCTCTGCGTGATAAACTTATAAATGAGGATATCCGCAGTAGAACCAGAGTGACTGACATAGCCCAACGGATTAGTAAGCTGAAGTGGCAATGGGCCGGCCGTATAGCTCGAAGAACCGACAACCGTTGGGGAAAAAAGGTTCTCGAGTGGCAGCCTCATACTGGTAGGCGTAGTGTAGGGCGACCCCCCACTAGATGGAGTGACGAGCTGTTAAGACATGCAGAAAGTGAATGGATGCAGGTGGCTCAGGACCGTGCTTTGTGGCATACTTTGGGGGAGGCCTATGTTCAGCAGTGGACTTGTGAAGGGCTGTAATGATGATGATGATGACATTTGTATGAATGGTACCTATTATTATTACACAGCATGAGCATGCATTTATATAATCACAAAGTGTAACCATGCTGGTTAATAACATCTTTTCTTTCTTTAGTCTAGAATAGTTCAGAGACAATCATAGAATATAAATTTATAATGGGAAAAAATATTTTTTACGTACTCATTTTCTAAAACTGAATATAGTGGTTCGACATTGTCTGTATTTATATGAAGGATTTTGTCAGCAAATGATATAGAATCTTCTAATATTTCCACTCCCTCTACATTATCACATTTAACTAAAGAAAGTCTCTCCAAAAGAGCTATAGTGTTTGTATCAACTTTCAACTTAGGGCTTTGTTTTTCCAATGTAACAACTGGCACTGCAGGTATTTTTGAATAAAATCTTTTCGACAGAAGTCTTAAGAAAAGTATTTTACTTGTAATATTATTAAAGTTCATAATTTAAAAGCTCGGAGAAGTTTTATGTGTAGGCAGGTAACCCGTAAAAAAATTTTTTTTTGTATGTAATTTTTATGTTAATTGTTTCTTTTTTATTTTAGTCTTGCACACTACTACAAACTCTGAAAACTCAATTTACAAAAACAAAAATTGCCATAATCAAGAACCAAGGAGCGATGCTGTTTATCCAAAACTCCAAGAGGTTATTTTCCTGACATCTGGCAGATGATCAGGTGACACCATAATGGCGTACCCTCAGTGGTACCTACTTTTTTAAATTCAGATTTTTGGATTGGATGCTTATTTTTTAAGCCTTGTCTTCATTTATAGTCTTTCTTTTTGTCAAAAATTACAAAATTACGGAGCATGAAAATTTTCTCACTAATGTCGCGGAGAAAATTTGTACATTATTCTACTAACTTCATCTACTTGTACTCATAAATAAACAGCTAACTTCGCAGTCTCACCGAAGGACCAAAAAAAAAACTGAAAAAAAAATCAAACGCTGCGGAATAAGGGGGGCTGAAAACACTACTCACCGACATCAGCGCCGCTATAAATTGTACAATTTTCAAGGACAGGCGGGCTACGCTTTAGTACGTAGTGATCGTTCTCCTATTTTCTAAGCTTCATGGGACAGTCGATGACGGCAGTCACTCGAATTCACAAGGCGCCTAAGCGATCAAAATTACTTAAGATTTATATCAACATAGAAGCACTTGTCTCGTCGTTTCTTCCACTAATAATAGTGGTTAATTTTTGTAAGTAGTAGTAAGTGTTTTCAAACCAGTTACGTTTTCTACGAGTGAATATGGTGTCATTAATAGAAAAAAATCCTGAATGTTGCATATTTCATGGGTAAATTTTTAACAGTGGTAGAGCCACGCGGCAGCTTTGCTGTTGCACGTATGGGCCAGCTAAAACCGGGGTGGTACCACGACCTCACAGAATACCGGCGTGAAGTGGAAGCTCTGCTTTCGCGTTTCTTCTGGTGAGTGCAGGTGGCCGGAGGCCCAAGTCCCCATCAACATGGTAGCGGAATTAAATGAAAGACTACCCCAGGAGGGTACCAGCACCCCTAGAGAATCCCTCGCTGAGCATCCACGACCATGTTTCTCCACTTCTGAGCGTGGGTGCTCAGGCTGCCCCGCGTATTCTGGGGGGGGGGGGGGGCAAAATTCCGCTCAAGACTACAACTGCTCGGGACAAACGGAGCCAAAACCAAGGCGACCCCTGCCACGATGTCCGTGAATCTGTGCAATATCAGGGGACTTCACTCTAACCTAAACGCCGTCCACTACCATCTCTAGACGGCGAGGCCGGGTCTGCTCTTTCTGACCGAGACGCAAGTGTCCTCTCCGGCTGATGTTTCGTATCTATCCTACCCGGGGTACAAACTGGAACACTCCTTTGTGCCTCGGGCTGGAGTTTGCGTTTACGTCAGAGAGGACATCTGTTCTCGACGCCTCGGCAGACTTGAAGGTTCGGACCTGTCCATCCTTTGGCTACGCGTAGACAGCGACGACCATCCGCGCGTCTACGGATGCTTTTATAGGTCCCATAGCGGTAATGCCGAAACAGACAGACTCTTCGACCACGTCCAAATGGCTGCAGATTCGTTGCTACAGCAGATCCCCTCCGCAGAGATCGTGATCCTCGGCGACTTTAACGCCCATCACGCCGAATGGCTTGGTTCACGTTTAACCGATCATGCGGGGAGATCTGTTCATGATTTTGCCTTGGCATATGGTCTGACACAACTGGTTACTTCGCCTACGCGGATTCCAGATGTGAAGGATCATGCACCTTCCCTGTTGAACCTACTGCTGACCTCTCACCCGGACGGATATCAGATTTCCGTCGACGCCCCTTTAGGCTCCTCGGACCATTGTCTTGTCCAGAGTGTGGTGCCACTCACGCTGAAATCACGGTTGCATTATGCAGGCTGCCGCCGTGTTTGGCACTATAGGTCAGCAGATTGGGATGGGATGCGGTCTTTCTTTGCATCCTACCCTTGGGGGCGGGTTTGCTTCTCGCCGGACGATCCCAACATTGTTGCGGATTCTGTCGCTGATGTGGTACTTCAGGGTATGGAACTTTTTATTCCTTCCTCTGTGGTGCCCATTGAGGGCAAATCTCAGCCATGGTTTGGTCGTCATCATGCTGTAAGCAGGAGTGTTACCAAGCCTGGGCTGACGCATCAGCGTCCCGGGATGTAAACGCCAGTGCTCTAAAAAAGAAGTATAATTCCGCCTCTAGGTCCTTCAAAAGAGTCATTGCCAAGGCAAAGTCAGAGCACATAGGCAGAATTGGCGAGAAACTAGTTCGCCTTCCTTCTGGAACCCGTGCATTCTGGTCTCTCGCCAAGGCTGTCCAGGGGAATTTCTGTCAGCCATCTCTTCCATCTCTGCACAGGGAGGACGACTCACTGGCCCATACCGCAAAGGAGAAAGCCGATCTTCTAGGCTCTTTCTTTGCGTCTAACTCGACTCTCGATAACAGGGGGAGTACGCCGCCAACCATCCCGTGGTGTGAGTGCTCCATGCCGGAAGTGCAGTTCACACAGCGCTCGGTTCGCAAAGCACTCCTCTCCCTGGACATCCACAAGTCGAGTGGGCCTGACGGAATCCCCCCCAATTGTGCTGAGGACGTGTGCTACAGAGTTGGCACCGGTTTTAACGCGTCTTTTCCGGTACTCCTACTCCCTAGGCGTAGTCTCAAAATCATGGAAGATGGCTTTCATCCACCCGATCCCTAAAAAAGGCGACCGCTCAGACCCGTCCAACTACCGGCCTATCGCCATCACCTCCTTGTTCTCCAAAACAATGGAGTCCATCAGACTGCCAGCTCATGAGGTACCTTGAGGATCACCAGCTGATTAGTGACCGCCAATACGGTTTTCGCCGTGGTCGGTCAGCTGGTGATCTTCTGGTCTACCTAACTCAGAGATGGGCGGAGGCAGTAGAGTCCAAGGGGGAGGCATTGGCAGTTAGTTTGGACATTGCGAAGGCCTTCGATCGGGTTTGGCACAAAGCGCTTCTTTCGAAGCTCCCTTCCTATGGGCTTCCCGAGAAATTGTGCGATTGGATCACCAGCTTTCTTGCAGATCAGAGCATCAAGGTTGTTGTTGACGGTGCAAGCTCCGATTGCAAGCCTATTAATGCTGGTGTTCCACAGGGCTGCGTGCTATCGCCAACGCTGTTTCTTCTGCATATGAATGATATGTTGCAAACCCGTAACATTCATTGCTATACAGATGACAGCACTGGTGATGCTCTTTACACCGGTCGAGCCAATATTTCTCGGGAAAACGTCTCCGAGTGCCGGAATAAACTTGTGTCTGAAGTAGAGTCTTTGCTGAACAGAGTCTCGGATTGGGGGCGACTAAATAGCCCAGTTTAACCCCCAGAAGACACAAGTTTGCGCGTTAACCGCTAAAAAGAACCCCTTTGTCGTATCCCCTCAGTTTCAAGGCACTCCCCTTGTTGCCTCAGCCAGTATTGGAATCCTCTGCGTCGGCATATCGAGTGACGTGCAGTTTCGTGGTCACTTGGAAGGGAAGGCCAAATTGGCCTCTAAAAAAGCTTGGCGTGCTCAGCGGAACACAGCGCACACCGCGCGACTTTACAAGGCGCAGGTTCGGCCGCACATGGAATACTGTTCCCATCTCTGGGCTGGGGCTCCCCAGTACCAGCTCCTTCCACTTGACCGCATCCAGCGCAGAGCGGCTCGAATCGTCGACGACCGAGTGCTTTCCGATCGGCTCGATTCACTGGCATTGCGAACAGATGTTGCATCTCTTTGCATTTTTTTTCGCATATACCATGGAGGGTGCTCTAAGGAATTGTTCGGATTAATCCCAGCCGCCAAATTTCGTGAACGCACTACGCGGCAAACATCCCGATACCATCCACACCATCTGGATGCTTGGCGGTCCACCACTGTAAGTTTCAAAAGGAGTTTTTTTCCGCGTACAACCTTTCTGTGGAATAGTTTACCACCAGCGATTTTTCCGAACCGATACGACCTGGGGACCTTCAAGAAAAGAGCTTACTCCTTTCTAAAGGGCCGGCAACGCACCTGCAATTCCCCTGGTGTTGCGGTTGATCAAGGGCGGCGGTAATCACTTAACATCAGGTGAGCAGCATGCTCGTTTGCCCCCTCTTCATATATATAAAAAAATGACATATTTCCAAATTTATGGAGTCTGGGCTAGGTCCTTGTACACTATACTCAAAAGTAGGCAAACAAATATTAAACGGTTCTCAACTGTTGAATTATTTTACAATGGCTTTGTTTGATGGTGAAATAAAGGAAATTACACTTGAAATTGCAACCCACAACAAAGATCAGTCACGGTGGTAAGATGTCATTTTTATGAATAAGTGATGTTTGACATGTTTATTTCACGTCTTTTGACTCACAACTATTTTGCTTTCAAATTTATTAATTATAGGATCCCAAGCAGTGTATACCAGCCTTCTTCTCTATTGAAATTAGGATGTTTTTTAATTTCATGTTTAACAGTCTAGTGTTGTGACAACTGACACTTCTCTATTTATGATCAATGGTCGCTTCATGAAGGTTAGAGAACAGGAGAACGATTATCGTCGAAAATAGTGTCCAGAAACATGGACACCATAAGTGAGGCGCTGCGATCGCTTGAGGTTCGGTCAATAAGTCATTTTGAGTCTATTTTTCCGATCAGATGCTAAACCACTTGCACATCCACGCACAATAAAATGTTTTTTTCATTTTTTAATGTTCTTTTTGTCAAAAATTACAAAATTACGGAGCATGAAAATTTTCTCATTAAAAATGAAATGAAAATTTGTACATTATTCAACTAACTTCATCTACTTGTACTCATAAACAGCTAACTTTGCAGTTACTACTCACCGACGTCAGCGCCGCTATACATTCTACAAGTAGTGATCGTTCTCATGTAATCTAACCTTCATGGGTCGCTTTATGTTTTACTGTCACTTCTTGCACAGAGT